CACAATTTTGGTAAAATTAATGTTGAAATGAAGAATATATTTCAGTCTAATGTTAGTGCAAAATATCATTAGGCCTTTGTAATCACCGCACGACACGCGATTATCATGGCAACTAACACGCGCCTGGGTAATTCGTCACGTACGCTGACGGTTTATGGTCTGGTTCATATGGTTTTTGTGACGGTAAGATTGTAGGGACGCACGTGCGCCTAGAATGTCGATGCCAGAGTTATAACCTTTGATGTCCCGAGATGTGCGTCCTTTTGTTGAATTACCTTGCTCAGACTTAGGAAACAACAGATTTTTTACTAAATAATTGCATTTGTGTTATATACGGTGAGACATTTTTTATACCTTATTTGGCGAACCCGACCACCCGCCAATAATGATTTCAAATAAAAAATTAATTTAATTTTTGGCCATTTAGCACACCTCAAAAATATAGAAGTTTTTCTATTTTTATTATGCCCGCCGTTGCCTTGAAATCTCCAAAAATAGGACATTATTCCTAATTATATATGTTTAAAGCATTTAACCATCCAATTACTGTACACTGTTTACATTCGCCAATAACATTTTATTTATATTTTTTCCTCCGTCTGGATGTTTTTGGTAAAACTATTTGATAAATTAAAAAACAAAATTTTATTTATATTTTTTACCGCTCTCCTCTATCTTCGCAAAACGAGGTATTAAAAAGTCTTGCCTAAAGAGAGATTCTTAATATCTTCCTCTTTCTTTGTATAGCCAACATGCCTGTGAGCTGAATGAGTACAATAGAATCTTAAGAAAAAGATCCAACAACAAAGAACAGGAGAACTAGTTATTACCTCTATTTGTATAATACTGCAGTTAAATAATTTGTTATGCAAGGACCAAGGGTATGCCAATAGCCAACTCTTTAATCACTTTTGTATGTGGCAAACATACAGTACACACAAGATGCTCTGCTTACACTAGGATTAAGCCTCAATATTACACTAGCAAGTGGAGTTGTTTTGGTTGTGAGAAAAAATTCAAGGAATTGACTAAAGGGATTGGAAGGCAAGAATTTTAAGCTGCCACTGTTAAGCTGGTTTCCTTAAAATCTCTACACTGTCGCTAAAGTGTTTTCAGGGCAATCGTTGTACCGGGTAGTATTCGGGATGCAATCGGGAAGGCTCCCTGAATTGTCCGACCAATCAGCATCACAGAAAGCTGTCAGCCATAGCGTGTAGCGATTGTATGGAAACCAACCTTTATTATCAATCACATGCTAAGTTTTAGTATGTGTGGTACAGTACCTTAATTAGAGCCTGACATGTGATTGGCTATAACAAATACATCTATCAATTCTATGGTAAAACTAAACATGGAGAAGGTATATATAAAACATTAAAAAACACAGTGCAAATAAAATTATGTTGCCATACAAAAGTAATACACCCAATTCAACAAGTTTAAATGAAAATAATAGGTTCACAATTGACTATTATAATACTTTCAATTTAAAGAAAAATGATAATTATCTATTATCTAGAAACTATAAGAAATAATTAGTCGGGGTTTAATTAAATTAGGATTTTTAATTGTGTCAACAAGGATTGTCAAACATACACTAATAAAATCTGTTAAAACATTTTTAAAATAATAATGATCTAGAAACTATGGAATGCTTAAAACATGGGGTGAATTAAATTGACAAGTTCCAAACTGTGTGTAAAAGATTGTCCAAAACTTTTCCAGGCACTTTCAAGAGACTTTTAATACTTCAAGTAAAATTACAAGAGTGAGTCTGTCCTAATTATAGACAAGTCTACAAGCTTATTATATTACAACCAATCACAGAATGAAGAGCTCAGGATGTTAGTATTTTCAGCACTACAGCATGATAAGTATGCGCTCAACTAAACAATTCTATCAAAGCTTTGGACTACCCCTTTAAATCGTGTACTAGTAATAATGATGGTAGCCAGTGTTTTGCATAACTAATGTAGTGGTATACCACATTGTAATAATGTATTGTAAATAGTTGCCTTGGTTTTGGCATGAAGTTTTATGGCTCTCAGAACTGAATGAGTGGATTTAGTCTAAATCCCTGTCCAGACTATCAAATTTGATTGGACAATAACATGCAACATGCCTAAATATGGTCATGTTGAAATCACATCATGACCATATAAGCACACCATGACTATATATGGGCATACAACAGTTTATTGTCAAATGAAATTTGATAGTCTGGACAGGTATAGCATGTATTAACACTTTATTCTTAACTTGTGTGACATTTTAATTGAATAAATTATTCCATTGAGTCTGATTTGTGTATTTTGCTACTTTACTTAAATCAATTATTATTATTATTATTTATCATATGTTTTAGATTTTTTATGAAAGATGTGTGTATTACAGGTACTGTATTTAACTCCACACTTCTATTTGCAAAGTTGTATATTCATACTCACTCCATTAATTTTAAGTCAATCATTTTGTTCATATTGATCAATCTTTTGAATTATTTAAGTATGTTGTCCAACACACTGAAACATGCTTAGATATGTAGGCAAACCAAGCCTTCTCATCGGCCACAACAACTTTTCCCCTTTACTAAAAACTTCTATGGCCATAGTACACTCCATGTTTCACAACACAGCTTAAAATGGTCAAAATTGCTTAGATTTTCTGTGCCAAGAACTCCTGAACTCCCACTGGTGTTTTGGTCCAGAATCCTGCTGCCTCCTCTGCAACTTGTCAGGCCCTCTGTCCGACAACTTAGCACCCCATCCACCGCTGAGACCTTGCCACATACTAAACAGACCTTCATATTTAAAGGTTTTAATGTGATCAATTGTTACAACCACATGGGTCAGCACAGTTTAATAGATTATCCCACATATTTTGAATATCTTTAGGAGAGTTTTGTGCGGACAGAATCATTTCCTGTTCACATATATCATCACAAATAAAATTAGAGTCATGCATGTAATGAGGTTGGACTGCAGCCAACCAAATTCCTACTGAAATATCCTCTCCTTGGTAGCAATGCAAGTACCTGAAAGAAAAAAAAAGGGACTGATTATGATTATTCATATTGAAATTTCAAATCGGGTAATGGAATGATGCAGTGTGGTTATAATTTGCCAGTTTCTGAGTGGAACTCGCTTGTTTTTATCCCAGGACCAATGGTGGTGGGCACAATACTTTGTAAAGGATGTGCAGATATCTTGCATTATTCCATTTCTAGGGTCCATGTTGGGTCTACATCACTTTGAAAGAATGGACTTTGCAACTAAGCCCCGCCCCTTTGATATTGTATGCACGCGCACACATTTGAGGACTACACCTGTGTTTGTAGGACATGCATATTCCTGGCCCTATTGATTGGTCAGTTGGGAAGTTAATTCACACTTCTGAAAGGTCCATTGAGGTGATCTTACAACATTCCATTTATCGTGACCCATATGTGTATACTTTGCTAGGCTTAAGCAGGGATGTAACAGCATTACATTACAGACACATCTCACTGACTGACAGGACTGTGTGACACAGGCACACAGAGTAATAGAGTTGGGTGAACCCCTGTAGACAGCTTAGGGTTTTGTAAAATCCTACCTGAAAATTAAGGAAGCATCATGACCAGTGACAGCACCAGCAGGGACTAGAGACCCCACGTCAGGAACCCTTTACCTCCCCGCTATACCGCCCCATCCATGAAACTGTTGCTAAAACCTGCTTTGAAAAAGCAATTCTACAGTGTGAGAGTGACATGTCTGAGCATATAGAGCTGCCGTAAGGTTTGCTAACATCGGCCTCATTATGGGTGTGGACTTGATGTCAGGTGCTGCCACTGACTATGATATGACATGTGACACTCAAATTTTATTTGACAAAAACATGTGATATGCCTCAATATGGTCATGTTGACAGCACATCATGACCATATATAGGCACATCATGACTATATATGGGCATACAACAGTTTTTTTTATCAACAAATTTGATGGTCTGGACAGAGCTTTAGAGCAATTGAAAGAAAAAGTGAATTTACCCAGTATTCTTTGCAATCCAGCGTACCAAATCTGAAGACAAAATGTTGCCAGACCCACAGGCAAACGGTGGGTACGTAAGTGAGTTGTACTGCATATCTGCCCATTTGCCATACTCATTTACCTTCCAATTCCTTCTAAAATGTCCCCACCAACTCCGTGTTTCCTGTTTAGGTTCATCTAGAAACTACCAAGGATAAATCAATTAGTAATGTAATTATTTTTGTAACAGAACAACACCCAATTTGTGTAGAGTATGTATTGTTCATTTTTTTGCTTAAACGAATGTTGGAAATATCATGGTAAACATTAAATCACAATACAGTACAAAGCTTATCATATCATACCTTTAATTCCAAGAAGAAATTGCAAACCAAGATAGTTTTCAGTTAGTGTGGAATGTGCAACAACCCTATGACAAGTGCACATGGACCAATATACCCCCACCAACTGGTGTTATTATGCACTGTATTACAAACAAACCAAGTACATTCAAGAGTATTCATATGCCACAAAATATGATACCATGTACGGAGTACAATTCCAAAGTTTCCCACATATAGAATAGATGGTTATTAAGCACTGTCCAATCAATATACAGTACAGCTATTTTAAAATATTAAAGATGTCACTCTACTAAGGTCATAGTGACTTGCATAGTCCACCCTAACATGCATCAGATTGCATATACCAACATGATAAACAAATGAGCTCTTATATCTGAGGGAATGTCCTTTTACAGCTTGGGGAATTCCCCTTACTAGTCCTCGATGTGCTGCTGTTGCCTTACCTCAAGTAATTTAGCAGGATTAACAAATGTATCATCATCAACCTTCATGACATATTTAAACCTCATTGAACCTGACACCCTGCAAAAAATTGAGATTTCATTTAGGTACAATTCAAAAAGGGGTGCCTGCAGGGGTGTCTGCTTATAAATAGGAATGTCCCAAAGAGAGGTCCTACTGTAATATTGAGTATGATACAACTTACCATTTATAAAACTTTAAAAGCTTGGTTGGAATGTTACTGTATACATCTACTACATCAACAAAAACTAGATCATTGTTAGTTTGTTGTTCTTTCTTCAGTGACTCAGATTCAGCCGACACTTGTGCAAGTCTTTCTGCATCCCTCGTAGATCTCTCTGATAGCCATGCGTGAACTTCTTTAGAATCTACAAATTGAATGCATATTTAAAAGTTTAAGTGGATCAAATAAAACATTTGGGCTGCCAAGCATTGGTAGCACTAGTGGGGAACAGAGCTCAAGTCCCCCATCCTGTGACTTGTTGTTAGATCAGAAATGGAAAAATTAGATTTTAGGAAAAATTAGATTTTAAGAAGAATGAAAAAGACAGCCCAGTAATTCTAAAAGTCAGAAAGACCCCTTCCAGTGCTTTGATTATTGACAACAATGAAAATCGTTAGACCCCTCTCACATATCTTAATTCCCTCTTCCTCTCCAAACAATAATATTACGGTTTTATTACCATCAATGACATATATCATATTGGAGGCTGCTAGTTGTTCTCTTCCTGCCATCAACGGTTCAAACAAAGATTTAGTACCACTCTCATCTAAGAATCTTAATCCCTAAAAACAAAAAATATATACATACAGTATTATTAATAACAATAAGGCAAGGCATTTTTTATACCTTGTTTAGGGAACACGCCGACAGCAAATATTGATGAATAAAAATAAAATTTTATTTTTGGCCAATTAGCGCACCCCCGCCAAAAAAAGTTTTTCTTTATTTTTATTACACCCTACGCTGCCTTGAAGTCTCCAAAGATAAGATATGTATTTTTCTTCATAATTATAAAAATCTGAAGCATTTAAACATCCTATTTTACATTCATGAATAACATTTTAATTTTATTTTCTCCTCCGTCTGGATGATTTTGGCAAAGCTATTTGCTAAGTAAGAAAACAAAATTTTATTTTAATTTTTATTCCGCCCTCCTCCGATAATCTTTAAAAAAGTATGTGAAACATGGAATAAAAAGTCTCCCTAAACTATTACAATTTTTTTTTCTTACTTTTAGGGGACTCTTATAGAAAAGGATATGAAAACATTGTTAATTTATCTGTTTATAGGTAAAGAAATATTTTCATGTTCTAATTTTAAATTGAATTTTAATACCTTAGTGAAATATAAAACATACAGTAAGCAATATAATATTGCATTTTAATTTTGTTTTTATTCGAGATGGTACTGGAGGCCTATCCTTAAAAATCAAATAATGCAGATTATTTTGAATGCAAATTACTTTTTTGATGGTAATGACCCCTTCATCTTGCTCTACATTCTTCACATGTAGTGAGCCAATATCTTGCCATAAATTTCCTCCACCATTGTGAGTTACCAAAGATCCTTCGAAACCCTGGAATAAGAGACAAGATAAATTTTAAAATAATGTACAAATACACTACTTCAATAACAATAGCATTGCCCATATTTAATGTATAGAACTTATGATTTTTTATTATATACTTCAAAAAAAAAAAAAAGGGAAGGGGACAAAATTTTAATATAACAACATTAATAATAAACACCCGAAAACCTATGTTTTTAATGGAAAATTTACCTTTGGGTATACCAACTGTTCAATGTATTTGAAACGCCAACTTCCATATAACATCCCAGGATTATCCACACTGAAATTGGCACTAGCAAGAATATTCTGAAGAAAAACACAAAAGCAATTATGCTACTAGGTTCATGAATATGTAAATTTAACACAGGTGGTCATCATGAACAACTGAAAAAAGGGCCTTTTTCTGCTGAGCCAAAAAACATGTGTTTTTAAAAATAGTGTGTTTTCCGCAGCAGAAATGGGCCAAAAAACAAAAACATGGTTAGGAATGCGTTCAAAAAACATGCATTGGTTATAGGGTTGGCGTTCAGAAAACATGTTTTGTGGTACACTTTTCAGCTGCAATACAATACCGTGTTAGTCATGACCCATCAGTGACCCAAATTGACCCCTTCGTTGGTTCGATCATTCGTTCACAAGAAATTTGGGGCAAAGAAAACAATGAAACCAACAGGATGACATACTTTAAGCTTACCAAAATTTGTTCATATTTCGCAGGGTGTTGTTACAGTCTTTCACAGCATGCGCTGTAGCTCACAGGAAGTAAGGTCAACTTCAACATCTGTAGGTGACCGTCATTATAAGCTCCGCCCACCTACCAATGCTCTCGTTACCGTGTTTTTATTAGCTGCACTTTTCACTAGAAAAATGTTCCGAAGGAATTTAACCGTTTATAAAATACATGTGTTTTTGGCGTTATTCAGCAGAAATATGCCCAAAGGGTAAATATAACACAGGTGCTTATGAACAATTGAATAAAAGAATGCATGCTTTCTGCAGAACACGTACAATACATGTCAGTAGTTGTAGCATTCTTGGTTATATGTCTATCTATTACACAAATACTTTTAAAAAACCCCAAATCAGCGCCACACTGAACACTGAAATTTGTGGTGCAAACAAAAATGCAAAAACATTCTGGTTCTGGTTTCTCAATTCTGTGATTGGCTGTATTGTAGTGGTCTGAAAAATGTGTCTAAAATAATTAGTTTTTTTAGGAAAGAATCTCATTTTGCCTGGTACAAACTTCAATTTAACCTTGTTGTACTTTCTTAGAACTCTTGGTAAAATTCATTTATACTGATTCCATTATTGCCTGTGATTTGCATTTTATAATTGATGGTAGAGGGCTCACTTTGTGTAAGGCATCGTAGAGGCTAACATTAATTGGATTTTGATTGAATTGAATGCAGCTATCTAACACACCAAGTACCACAATGACAATATCATGGTGAACCTGTCAAAGAAAGAACAAGAACCTCATTACTGTACATATCAATTAGACATAAAATATTATATACTATGACAGATAAAAACAAAATTATGAAAATATCTTTATCTGTGAATAAACAATCTCTATGAAAGCTAACAATAACACATAAAGTTAACCACTGGCAAGTGTAACTACCTGGGAACAATGGACAACTTGTTGAGGATACTGTTGGCAACTACCATGATGGGTCCTCAAAGGACTGGATTAGATTGGACTAGGACTAATTGAGTTAATGCAAGGCGAACCCCAGAACCTCACTGCTGTTCTTGTTGTTATCAGAACTTTAAAAGCATCGCCAGTTTTGAACTGACGTGCAGGAAATTTTGTGCACGTAAACTAGAGGTTATTTCCAACAAACGTTCATGGCCTTTTTTTTTATGTTTGACCACAGGGTGTCCCCTACACAATGCAAAACAGGGGTTTCAGCAAGGACTGTACATTACTGTCATTTCTACTAACAGGACACGTCACATGGATGGTGCAGTCCTTCTAAGGGAATGAGGAAACCAAAAGCAGGGCTGGATTAAAGGGCTGTGGGGCCTGGGCTGTAATTGCAGGTGGGTCTAATTACTAAATGGCTAAAACATAAAACCAGATTTTCTGTGATTTTTCCTGGCTTGTGCCCCAAAATCCCCTATGTTAATCTGGCTCTGACCAAAGGTTTGAGTTCGAATCACGTCTTGGTATTTAATTTTAAATTATTTTTTTAAATTTTAAGACATTTTATTTTTTATTTAATTTTTTATTTATTTTTATTATGAACCTTTGCTGAAAAAATATAATTTGCACCACTGTGTACGCATTTAATCATGGAGGATATTCCAGCATGATTTAAAAGCATGTTCTAATAGTGTCAACAGCTTCGTCTGAAAGGTGCATAAACAAAGCGTTAATCGCTGAATAGATATAAACTCAGTTTAACGTGCGGACTGCGTGAACGGTAGCTCTTGTTGGTATTAAGCTATAACTTCTTACCTTAAAGTCAAATCCGACATTATCGTACTCTAGTGAATGTATCAATTCACTTGAACTTGTTTCTTTAAAAGCTAGCAACTCATTTCTTGGATCTTAGTGAACGTAAACAAAAATTATGTAATACGTTAATGACAATACCTTTCCACTTCAATTAGGTTCACAATTTACCTATTATTATTTTATTATTTAGCTATTTTATTAATTTTAATGAACAGCAAAAAAGTCAGCACTTGATAATTAGAATGAATAACTGAAAATTATTAGATATCTAAAGAAAAATACTTACTGCTTTTGTGATTAAAATTTAACTCCTCACATGAATATTTGTCAACTTTATCATCATCATGAAGATGACAAGCTTCACCTCCAATTACAAAATTTACAGTTGCTCTAAAAAGAAAATAAATTAAAAATATTCACATGAAAAGAAATTATTAAAGTTGAAGAAATATTTTTCTTGGACCTGGTTTAATAATGAGCTGTCTTTTAACCAAACTTATTGTATTTAGCTGAGCATGGTGATACCCAAGGCCAACAGACTTTTGGAAGATAACACATCAGTATCAAAAACATTAAAACAGAGATTGATTAGTGGGCAGGACATTTTTGCTTGCTGGACAGTGGTGTCACAGGGCCTGGGGGAAAGGAAATGTGGGGCCCATGTAATAAGGGGCAGAGGGGATGGTATTTTAAATGAAAATTAACTATATTTGTGTGACTATTAAAAATTGAATAAACTATTTTTTTTAAATATTAAACAAAGCTGGTCACACCTGTCTTTGAGTCTTGAGTTGGACTTGACAGATTCTACCCAAGTGTTCCTAAGGGCTTCCCGCTGGGCAAAATTCTTCCTAGCAGAAAGTACTGCAATAACAAGATCTTTGTGTTCACTTAATCCATCTGCAAAAAAATATAACTGCATTATATTACTATGGTAATGTATAGTGGAACCACTGACTACTCCAAAAAATTTGGTAAAAATAGTTAGGGTTGTTTTTCTCACTGACTCTTGATCCCATGACTGGTCTCTTATCCTAGACATGTAAAAGTTAAATTAAATAATGTACTTACTTACTTGCTTGGATTTAAAAAGGGGAAAAATTTAACAGGGGGTCATGGCCACTGGCCTTCTTTTATCCCTCCTCCCCAGCTTCAGTGTTGAAGTATAGGGAAATCCCTGACTTTGGAAGGTTTGCGTAAACTATAAATAGATACAATGTAGGAGAAAAAAAATTATATAGACTTGCTACTTTCTTTTGTTATTAGCATTCTTGATTCACTAACAAATGATTGTCTATTATAATGAAATTTAATTAATCATTCACCTTCAATCAATCAATCATTCAACTGCATTTTGTACACACCTAACACATTATTTTTAATTTTCATATCTATCGGAGTAGATAAAACAAATGTAGCTGAAAATCTAAAACGAAATACCATTTATTCATTATTTAGGCACATGTTCATTACCAATAGTGGACTTTCACTTTCACAAGACATGTAAATATACAGGCAAGATGCTCTACAAAACTCGCATTAAGAGGCTTAGTAAAACTGACAGGATTTGAACCCAGGCCCCTAGGTTTGGAAGGTGGACGTACTTATTTAACCACCATACTACAATTCCAATTTTATTTACTTCAAACAGTCATTCATTTTATTCTTCAAGTGAGAATTGGACCCACTTTTTCTTTTGGAATATTTACTCTAGTCAAGGTCCACACACATCGAAAGGATTATTTTTTTGAAACAAATGACAAAACCAAGCAAGTGATTTACTAAAAAAAAAGCCAATTGGCAATAGGCCTAGGCTACATTTCTCATATTGTCGAAAGTTAACTTCCCTATAGTAGTTTCGAGTCGAATGACCCAAGCAATTAAGGCTCGGGCGCCGCAACCTACAGCCATCGGCGCTGGTTCGAATCAATCGGCGCTGGTTCGAATGGCACTCTCGCCCATGGTTCTGGAGGCGGAACAAGTGTTCTTGGATAAGGACTATAAACCGTAGGTCAAGTGTACACATTTGGCTCATGTATACAGAACCCAAATAGGCCTACACCTTTCGATAGGAGTAGGGGTTGGTGTACTGGTCCATCTCGATTCACACACACAGCCCCTGCCATTGTGGATTACCACCTGACCGTTTGGCTCCAGCAGTAGGAGCGTTGGTCAGTACGCGTATACAAGACAAGACATAATTATCGGCTAAGCCTAACTAAGCCAAACAGCAAAGGTACGTCGGTCGTCCAGCAGAAAAACGACTGACTAGTTAGGCATATATGCCTGCTCATACTATGCAATAAGCATATGGCCTAGTTAGTAGGCTAGCCGAGATAACAAATTACCTTCTATAAAGTTGATAACAACAGCTAGAAAGACACAAAATACAGGAATTAACAGGGTTTTAACTGTATTCGTAAAAATCAAACGGAAACTCATAATTAAAGGAGTAGATAGCCTATTGTTGTAGAAAGACTCAACACAAACACATCGCTCGGGTGGTGTGGAATCCCTCTCCCGTCTGAGACATAATGACAACAAAACCACGTGCTTTGGAACAAACCATTTTTTCCAAGGAGCTAAATTTATGATTTCCTTTTCCTATTTGCGATTTGAATCTATTTACAATATTGAGTTGCTTTCAATTGAAAATTATAACGACAAACGAGAGCATATTTTTCCGCCAATATTTTAATAATTAATAATTAAATCATACTGCTCCTTATAGGTTATTCCTTGTGAATACCCTTGACTTAATGTACAGAAGCCTCTTACCTAAGGTAGGATTTTAAAAAATGTTCGGTATTATTATATTATGGTATTATTTGTTAAATAATTATAATATAATTTATTATAAATATATCTGAGATAACTATATAGTTGTCACAGATTGTATGATATAATTATTATGATATTAACTGTTAACAATTAGGTTTGGATTGGATTTATTTGGTGTAAACACCAAGGATAGCCCACGAAAGTCAAGGAGAAGACTTATTTCCAGTAGGGTCCTTATGGTGGTGATTAGGCAGTACACCTGGAGACAAACCCCTATTCTTATCCGTTCTTTTTTGTACTTCAATCCCTCCAGCTGAAACACAAGGAGAGGCGCGCAGCGATGGGAATTGAACCGGGGACCAAGAGGTTTCCACGGTTCAGCGCACATACAATGGCTACCAGGAGATTAGCTGACTGATCTAAGCTGCTCCCGCGGCATTTTAGGCCTATAATAATTTTAAGTACAGTATAATTACATTTTTAAGGATTAAGATACGATAAGATAAACTTTAGTCATGACTTCAAATCAAGGTGACATGAAATTTGGTTTCCCTGATGCTTAAATTACAGTACATAAATCGTCGCTCACATCACGAACTAACACAATTAAATTCAATTGTGTTAGTTCGTGAAATCAAAAAAGCGCGTCAAAATACGCGCTGTTGTCGTTAAGGACTTTTTGTGTGGTAAAGAATACAAAATTACT